CGGAAATCACACATGTAGGGAATTTATCATCCTATGATCACACACACACATGGGTAGTTCCTCTAGGCAGCCCACAATACACTCATGGCCTCTACCTATACTACAACGGCCTCCCGAATGCAAGATTAGATAAGTGCTTAACTTAATAGGATAAGGTCCCCCCATAAAGACACATGTGGATGTATGGTAAACATAGTGGGTGATATGATGTTCGGTCCTTAATCGACTCAAGTGAACACTCCCCCTATCGGTATGCAACTACTACCATATGCATATCACTTGCCGCCTAAGTCTAAAATCACATTTTATTTCACAAATAATCGGAGAATCACCTCTGAACATAATGTTTAAAAAGGAGTTCCAAATAGTATATCAAGTGACTCATAACCATGTTTTATTTATCACTAAGCAAGGCTAAGCATTTGCACTTTATAAAAGCATAGTATAGTCATATGAGCACAATTAAAGTACTCTAAGTAACCCTAAGGTTCAAAACAGCAAGGGGTGATTTTCAAAAGGGGATTCATGCATCTTTTAAAGGTACAACTACAATCTATAGTTTTGAAAGTACCGATACTTAGAAATACACGTGCAACTTTACAATCAAAACATTTAGCCCGAAAACATAGGATTCAATATGTTCAAAGGAAGGGCAACACTTGCCTTGGTTGATATAAAACCTCCTTGAGATCAGCTATAAGACCAATCACCTCACCGATAACGAATTCACCGTCTAAAAGAAATAACAGTAACGATAAATACCAAAACATGTAAAAATCTAAAATGCTCAAGAATGCATGAGTTTACTAGTGTGGTTAGGTACTGGTCTAAGATGAATTTAGATGAAAGAATTTATATTTTATCACTTTGCATTTGAGAGTTATTAATTTTCAAAGATTAATACTAGCACTAGATTAATTAAGCTCTAATAGTCCTTAGGTGCAGTTTAGGTCCATGATTTATGAATTGTTGACTTGCTGCAGTGAAGGGGATGTTCTCAGGAGTTCAACAAAGTTGGTTTCACAATTTTTAAAGTTAGCATGATTTTCCTATGAGTTTTATAGTTTGCTTGTTTCATTATAGACCATATTAGTTATTTAAAATTTTAGAAATGTTTTAGTTATGGTTTCACCTAGAGATTAGTCTATAGATCGAAAGTGCATACCTCTGTGAAACTAACAAAATTTTAGTTTTGCCCATTTAGAGTTAAAATGAATTACTTATGGATTTTATAGTCTCTAGTTTGCACTATAGTAGTAAATTTTATTAAATAAACATTTGGTGACATATTTATTACAGAGAGTGCTAAGTTTTAGTTCATGACAAATGAGAGTATGATTTTGTGAACATTCTGGAACTTAATTCACTTCAAAAAGAGTTCAGGTGAATTTTCTATAAATTTTATAATTTGGAGGTTGCTCTATGTTCATTGTTTATTATATGAATTTTTAGAGCTATTTCTTCCACTGTAAGTGCCAAGTTTTATGTTTCTAAATTAAAGTCATAAGTTTGTGAGTTCACAGAAATTTGATTCATCCAGATTGGAGTTAAAATGGATTTTATATGCATTTTACAAGTTTTGGGCAAGTTTTCAATTGTAAAACTTGGCACTTACAGCCAATTGTTTTGATCCTATTATATCAAAACATGCATATATTCGAATCTTTTGACATATTTCTAACAAATTTGACATATGTTTCACATTTGACATAACTTTGATAGATTTGGCTTCAATTGATAAATTTGAATCAATTTAATAGAATTTTGATAAAATAAAATGAACAAAATTTGACACAAATTTGGTACACCAATTTTGCTCTTGTGGTGGTAAGAAAGCAGAACCAACAAATCAGAAGAGGAAGCCGAGAACAACACCACCATTGTCTCTCTCCCCACGCTTATCCTGCTAATCCCTCCATGCCGCCACCTCCCTCCCTCCACACGTCGGCGCCATCGTCGCTGCCTCCAACCCTCCGCACGCCTGCGCCGCCCCCTCCTCCCTCCGTGGGCCGGTGCCAGTGCTGCCGTCCCCGTCTCTCCGCATGTCGATAGCTCCACTGGCCCTTCCTCCCTCAGCACGTAGGCGTCGTCACCGCCCCTCCCCCCTCTGTGCGCTAAATCCAGCCCCACCGCCCCTCCCTACACCGCTGTTCACGCCGAGAGAGGAGAGAGAGAGAGAGATAAGAGTTGGGCAGGAGGTAGGAGATGGATAAGATTGAAGGAAGGGTATTTGGTTAGCGTGAATAATAAATGTATTTTTTCTTTTTTCTAAATGAAACCCTAACGGTGTAGTTTAAATAGGGTGAAACGATAGGTTCGATTCAGAAAAACAGGGTCAATTAAGCAAACTAGAAAAAATTAAGGTCTGATTGATAATTAGCCTTCGAAACATAGTAAAATAAGCAATTATCCCAAAGTTTTTTAACATTTTAATAAAAATTGTTTAAAAAATTATCGTTATTCGCTTGTAACCGATCAGTAATTATGGCGTTGTAGGTATTTGACAAAACATGTTTTCTTGGTAACTAGATGATTCCCCGTAAGTTGCTGCGTGAATTGCTATAGAACTTATGTTTGCAAATTTGATGATAAGAAATTTAGAATGTATTGGGTATATATAAAAATGCTAGCTATAACTTAAGTCAAAATACAAATACAAAACATTATACAACCCCATCGTTTGGCTGATAAGAGGAAAAAGCGAAACGGCATATTTGCAAATGAAAAATAATTTGTGAATAAAACCTTTATATACATGTTCTTAACTAGCTAAAAGCAAACGCTAAAAGATAAACTATGAATCCTAAAATCAACTCCAAATTTAAAGTTGAAAACTCAAATTTTGGCTGATAAGTATAATTATAAGTGAAAAGATGAGGTTGATAATTTTTAGAAAAAACTTAACATATAAGAAAAAAAGATATTATGATAATATGTTGATACCGTGAATGATCGATTATTGAACTGCCTTATGATCAAAACAGAACATGTCATATAGTTCATTTTTCTTTAATGTAATTTAGAGACACAACTATAAATGTATAGGCTATCCTATATAGTATGTGATATGTTCATTATGCTATTCACAAAATTAAAAAGAAGACCGTTTAGGTTCATTCATAGCATTTGGTGGCCTATTGTTTGCTTGATTAATTGAAGGTTGCATGGTTGTGCATGATGAGAAGAAGTAAATACATGAATAAAACATGAGAAATCCGAGAGAAACAAAATAAAGTGACTTTGGGATGATCTTAGACATTAAGTGTAAATCCAATGGACGTAAATAATTAACGTAATGTGAAAGCACCACATGAGAGAAGATACTTAATAACTAAACTAAGGGTGTGTTTGCATACGCTGGTTCCCAACCCTACCACGGAAAACGGAGCAGTGCATTAGCATATGATTAATTAAGTATTTGCTTTTTTTTCAAAAATGGATTAATATGATTTTTAAGCAATTTTTTATAGAAACTTTTTGCAAAAAAATACACCGTTTAATAGTTTGAAAAGCGTGCGCGCGGAAAACGAGGAAGATGTGTTGGGAAAAAGGGGTGCCAAACACACCCTAAGAGCAGGTGCAATAGCAGGCTATAAACCGGCTATAAACATATTTTGAAGAGGTAAAGGAAGAGAGAGAAGAGCAGCGGGCTACAGATCTGTAGCTAGCTGCAGCACGGACTTTAAGACGTAATATGTATATGACAGGTGGGACCAGGTATTAATAGTATAGTAACTAACTACTGTATGAATTGGCTATTACATTGGTTATAGATGATTTGGGGCTAGTAGTGGGCTATACTATTAAACTTGCTCTAAGTGGGATTTATTGTATAGGTTACTAGAAAAATGTCCGTGCGTTGCGATGGGTGAATGCTATTTTAATCATATTATTGTTAATTTTTTTTCTAAAAAGTACATCCTCCATTTCAAAATTATGACGCCTTTGACTTTTCGCACAACGTTTGACCATTTATCTTATTAAAAAAATTATATAAATATCATAAATTTTGTTGTGAATTGTTGTATCATCAAATAAAATATAATCTGAACATATACTTTTTCATATTTATATTAATTTTTTAAATAAGACGAATGGTCAAACATTGTGGGAATAGACAACGGCGTTATACATTTTGATAGTATTGATATCTAGTTTGAAACTTTTATTAGGATGATGGTCATATCTTGTGTGTTGCTTTCTTATGACTTGGCAAGAGTTCTGAAGCAATTAGGAGTCTAACTCTTCTCCTAAGTTAACATGCGAGTTTTTTAAAATGATTTCTTATATCACTTTTTATGTATTTCTAAAAGCAAACGAACTTGAAAACCGAGTCAAATACAAATGACGCACCAAAATATCGGCGGAAACATCTTCAATTTTTATGTTTGACATAGATAAATTAAAATCGGGAAGAGTGCTACTACTAATGGTGTATATTTTTTCTTTTTTATTAATGTGGTATAATAATTCCTAGTCTTTGGAGTGAACATGCTGGTTTTTAGCTATATTTGTAACAACGTTTGTTATATTTTAGCACGAAGGAGTTTTTTTTAATTGCAATCTGAAATAAATAACACGCTCAAATATTTTTTTAGTTAAACAGAGAAAACTTTTTGGCAGCAACTGAAAAATTACTCTCGCAATATGTATGTATGCATGTATATGTGTTGACACCAAGGCTGACTCGGTTTTCGTCAAGGTGTTCTGTAATTGCAATGCATATTGATACTGAGACTGACTCGGTTTTCGTCAAGGTGTTCTGTAATTGCCGTGACAAACGTGAAAAAACCCTGTAGCTAGCTTCATATGTTTGAGTTAAATACAAATAGTGTTTCGTGATACCATAACTTATTCCATAAATCTATATCTTTATAAAACCAACTCAAATACGGGTAACGTACCAAAATCTTAACGAAAATATATTCAATTTTTATAATAGTAGTGATAGAGATATACAGGGGAGATAAAAAAAAAAGGTTTTCGTGACCACATCAGTACATCACACACGCGTTATTTGGGGTTCCGGCCCAATACGTGGCCCAATCCATCGGCATCGGATCGAACTCCCCCCTCTACCTCCTCCTCGTCTTCCGGCGACGCACGCCGCCGCCGCCGCCGCCGCCGCCTGCCCTCCCTACTGACGTCTCGTCTCCTCCTCCAGAGCAGAGCAGGAGAGCTGAGCCAGGAAGCCACCGATCATGGCTGGTACGAACCCCAAATCCTCGACCTCCTCCTCCTCCTCCGCCGCGCGCGCTTTTCCTCGTTTTTGTATGATTGCTCACCTCGTCGTGTGTCTGTGTGCCCCTGCGTATGGCGGCGGCGGTGGCGCCGGAGAAGATTACGAGCAGGAGCAGGAGATGGAGGTGGAGGCCCTGCAGGCCATCCTCATGGACGACATCAAGGGTTCTCTCTCTTTTTCTTTTTCTTTTTTTAATCTTCCCCCTGCACAATACTAGTTCTTTGCTTGCTCTATAGCTTGTTGCTTGCGGAATTTAACCTGGGAATTGGGAATTTGATGATGATGATGATGATGATGATGCAGAGATCGACCCCAGCGAGAGCGGGCTCAGCACCACGGCTCGCTGCTTCCAGATCGTGCTCTCCCCTCAGGTTTGTGCCGGGGATCCTACCATATGTATCACTTCCTCGATTCTTCATTCAGTTATGACCTAAAGTATAGTTGGCAATAGGAACTCTTGGAATTGAAGAGATGTTGCAGTTTCGTCAGTTGTCTTATGATTAGTTTGGTGAAATTAACGATCTTTTCCTTTTCACTTGGTTAGGATGATGATTTCGATGAGTCGGCTTATGTGCCAGGTAAAGAATAATTTTATCATAATCAATATTATATTAAAATAAGAGAAAAGGAACATTTAGATGTTCTGTATTTCTTGATTTATTCAATTATTATTGTAATTGTGTCATCCATCCTTGCTTTGCAGTCCAACTGGCTCTGATTTTTGCACACACCGAAAAATATCCGGATGAGCCTCCGCTTTTGAATGTCAAAAGGTTCTGTTTTTTAACTTGGTGATCCAGCATTGGTTGGAAGCAAGCTTAGCGCCATTAAATTTCATGGTATCTTTATGCAAGATGTGTGCTTATATGCTTTCCAACTCTTACAGTTGAATTGCAAAACTTCCATGCAGTGTACGAGGAATGAAATCAGAAGATCTTGCATCCTTGAAAGAAAAGCTTGAGCAAGAGGTATGCAAGTACTTGGCTCAAGTTTGTTGTCAATCTAACTGTCAACTGTGTGCAAAACAACTTACTTCCTCTGTCCCTAAAAGAGTGTAGTTTTAGCTTAAGAATTTATCCCTAAAAGAGTGTAGTTTTAGCTTAAGAATTTATCCCTAAAAGAGTGTAATTTTAGAGTGGTCCATTAGACCTCTTAAATATTACATCCTTTTCTTCTCGTTCTAACCATTGAATCAATAGTACTCCGTCCTCCTCGTTTTTTCCCCCTTCTCGTTTTCTCCACATATTTTGAAGGACGTGGTAGTCTTTTAAACTCTTTTTGGGACGGAGGGAGTATGCGCTAAGTTCATCTGAAGATAAAAGTTTCAGAATGAGTCAAATAAACTTGGGCAGTTATTGTATTTTTTTTACTATTTACTACTACAAACTACTTTTATTACCTGCTTCTACTGCCACTGTCATGCCTGTATATAGGATTTGTAAAATGCTCACTGTGGCTTCACGAATATTCATTCAGATATTATGTTGATATTGAATATATTGTGCTTAAATTGAATAGACGATGTTCGGAGTCTATTCTTGTCTATCAGGTATATTCATTAAAAATCACCTGATATGCCTTGTCATGCTCTGTTTATTATCCCCATGGTTTAGGCAACTGAAAATCTCGGCATGGCTATGGTCTATACTCTTGTCACATCGGCACAAGATTGGTTAAGTGAGAAATATGGACAGAATGCTGGAGATGGGGAATCTGAAGAAAATGAGGCAGAAGAAGAGGAGGTATAGCTAACTTATTCCCTTTGGCAAGTTTAATGGTTTCTTTTTTGTGACCATCTGTGATAAGAAGATGAAATGAATATTTGGCCAAGCTTCAGACTGACTTATTTGCACATGATTAATTATTTTCCAATTAAGAGTACATATATTTCATCACACACTGGAGCTAGTCTAGGATGCATTTCTCAGAGCGGTAGTTATGCTTGTCGTACTGACTGCTGAGCCACTTCATGATCAAATTCCACGGTTACTGTTATTTTCTGTATTATATAATCTAAGATCGTTAGCCATTTATTATTCTGCCCCTCTGCAGTATGTATCTTTCCCATGCAATGTACTTTATAATGGAACATTTATAGGTCATTGTGCCCCATGGTGAAGCTGTTACTGTAGAGAGCTTTCTGGCTTGGAGAGATCGTTTTGAAGCTGAATTGGCGCTACAGCGTGCCAAGTAAGATTCTTTATTTAGCTTTCCCTTGATGTCATCATGGAGTCATCTTCACAAATGGCAGGCTTTCTTATAGCATTTGATCTTGAAATTTCAAGTGCCAAAACATGTTCTCATAAACAAATTTTTTTTCATGTGCAGGCTTATGCCAGAGTCAGCTCTTACAGCTCCGAAGGAAAAGAAACTCTCAGGAAGACAGTATTTTGAAAGTGGAAGGCATACAATGGTACTTAATCCTACTCCCTCTGTCCCTAAATATAAGGGATTTTGGTTGGATGGTCTAGATTCGTAGTACTAAGATACGTCACATCCAACCAAAATCCTTTATATTTAGGAACGGAGGGAGTATATTAGATTTTTTAAATACTGTATGTATTGCATGTTTTCCCCTTTTCCAGTTAAGGGCATGCATAGCCACCAGTATATTTTGTTTATATTATTTTTGTTATGATCTTTGAATCTTTGTACGATTGTAAGTCTCACATATTTGAAATTTTCTTTCCAGAAAGGAGCAAGTACCACTGCTGACGAAGAGGAGGAAGAAGAGGAAGACATCGACTTTGATGAAGACTTCGATGGTAAATTTTCACTTACTTCGAGGATATTCTTTCTTGCCTACAACAATTTGTGTAGTTTGGAAGCGAAACTTACCTTACAATAACCTGGTTTCATAATCTGTACAGATGACGAAGAGGACATGCTTGAGCATTACTTAGCAGAACAGTCAGGCAAGTCGGCCGCTTAAGGCTTCAAAACCATAGAAGAGAGCAAAAATGTTTTAGGGAAGCACAATGTGGTTATATAATATTATAGGTGAAGCCTACCATTTTGTGCGTTTTCCCATGAATTGGTTTGCCTGCTGATGAATACCTTCGAGAGGTTATCATCAATCTGATTTGAGTGTATTAAAGATGAACATACAGCGGCTGCGTAATTTACTTCGTTATGTAATCTATTGTGTTTTTGGTCGGTTTGAACCCACATTTACCTTCTTGCTGTGAATGCTGCATCATTAAGCAAGTCTGCAAATTTGACGCTCGAGTTCAAACAAAACAAAAGCATGTAGAAGTTTGGTTTGCTTTTATCTTGAGGATGATTGGTTTATAGCTCGTGAAGCAACCAGAGTTCTGCTGATCCATTCAAGGCATAGATATGTTTGTGTATGATTAACTCCTGATAAATTACTTTCATTCAGATGACACCATCTAGATACAAAAAGAATTGCTTCTATTTCCTCCTCCCATTGGCATTGATGTTGGTAAGAGTGGGCAATACATAGTTCAAAAAGAAAAAAAAAAGAAAGAATGGATAATACATCGGTGATCTACGAGACTACATACAACAACAAAGGGCTCTTCTATATTGTTCTACGATGGGCCCAAGCTTCGCTTCCTACCAGGGGAAAGCTTTCAACACTAAATTGATTTGAGGGCATGTATAAACAAAAACCTATGCTCCCGTGAGATCATGCCTGCAGGACTGCAACAATCGCCATTTCTGCTTATTGAGCAGCCTCACTAGACACATCCTTGATCAGTCATGGCTTGTGCAATATTAAGAAACGCACATATGTTTGCACCATGCACCAACGACCTGCATAGAGAGATCGATCAGCTTCTGGGTTGAAACCAGGCGGAAACAAAGGAAGACATCCTCAGAGCACAAGAAGAAAACTAACTCTGGGTTCTCTTTCATGATTCCATAATCTTGAGCAGCTTTGATAGATCTGTCATATGTTTGTTTCACCGCATCCTGTTTATTTTTTTAAAAAGAAGACTTTCAGCAGGTCTTCTAGTTAGTAAATACGAGTAGCTTGCCAACAAGCAGGAGCAGCAGATTATACCTGTATTTTGTTCTCAAAATCCTCCACTGACCACTGCATCAAACTGAACTCAGGGTTCAGTTCGAGTTCTCCAACTGCTACCTGTCATACGAGAGAAACAAAGGCATGATCAAAAGAGGGACCATGACCAAGCTCAGCTGGAATATACATCAATCTAACTTAGAAAGCAGTGCGCCCAAATTAATTTATAACAGCAGAAAAACGAGCAACACAATTCATCTAGGATCATGTAGTTTTGACCACAGAAGGATTGATAAGAACATTTGCATTACCCCACCAGCGGCAGTTGCCTTTGCGGGAGCAACAACTACTTTTGCTGTTCGTAGGATATCAACTGCTTGAGCAGTGCAAGGCATATTTGAACCTTCAGTAGGACCAAAAATAAATCAGTAGATGATATGGAACGAAGTGATCAAAAGGACAAATTCAAAATTCCGTACATTCTATAAGAACACGGCAGCCAGAGTTAATTATTGCAAGAGCCTCCGCCTGGTCAATCTCATTTTGTGATGCACAAGGGAATGCAACGTCACACTTCTCACTCCAGGGCTTTGCATCATCTATATATTTGGCATTTGGATATGATTTCAAGTATTCCCTGTTTGGTTAAATGGAATAGTATGTCAAAATCTAAACCTTTATGAACTAAGGATAAGTTAAGGCATCTACCCACTTGAGGCTCCTTTGCTGAGCCTTGATGTTCCTTAGAACTGAATATTTCATGTAATCAAACCCTTCCGTGTCTAACAAATAACCCTTCGAATCTGCAATAATTTATGATAGTTTTCATTGATTAGAATTGCCATTGTACAAGTAGACCAAATTATTCTTATTAGGATTGGTTTACGATGTGACAGCCAGTAAGAGAAAAATAATTTATGATAGCTCTCGTTGATTAGAATTGCTTGTACAAGTAGACGAATTATTCTTGTACAAGTAGACGAATTATTCTTATTTAGGATTGGGTTACAATGTGACAACCGGTAAGGGAAAAACCAAGGGTAATGTTACAGGAACAAGAACAGAAACCATTATATATGTCATTAAATAAATAAGGCCATTAGAATTCTGGGAAATCAAACATGAGCTAGGTTAAGTAAAAAGCAGTAATAAGATGTGAATCATTGCATCTTGGGGGCAGACAAACCCATAAGGTTTAGTCATGATAAATGTACAAAATTAATTGGTGAAATCATGGTAGTAAACTAGGTCATGCTCCTGCCTATCATACTACCTTATGTTATTTCCTAGCAAGATAATCCATGTTAAGGTTTCAATCTGTATATGGTATACCTGAAACTGTAACAGGAATAGCTTCACATGACAGAAGCTTTTCCAATACATGCATTGCTATCTTTCCAGAACCACTTATCACACATCTGCAGAAGCCATGCACATTAGGAAGTCCCAAATGGTTACAAAACTATATACAAATAAACTAAATAGATCTATGTTAAAACCTTAATCCTTTGAGTTCCTTGTTCATATCAGCAAGCACTACACGTGCAAAGAATACCTGCAACAGGTTATAAAATTACTCTTTTCAACAGGAACAATTGTCTAGTTGACATATGCAGCAAAAAGGGTAAGTTGTGAAAGAATGATAGTAGCAAGCAACATGATATACAATAGTTTCTGCTCACAGGAAATGTTAAGGCACCACTTTACCAGTCCGTATCCAGTAGCTTCTGTTCGGAAACTAGAACCAGACCAGAAGATTTTAGGCCCTGTAAAATTCCCCTGCACAAGCATAGCAATGAAATCTACAGAATAAGAGAAAAGACTGACAAAAAAATATAAAGCAAACTGCAAACCAATAGCCTTAAAGTAGGGCTGCGTTCTGCAGCTGGTGAACAAGAGAAGATTTCTCTCGTTCTCTGTGCGCACGCTTCCCGAACTACTAAATGGTGTATTTTACCAAGAATGAAGAGAAATGTCCAGATACAGGACAGATGAACCAAGCTATAACAAACTATTGAGCAATACCACCTTTTGGTTCCTCAATCCCTGTAGTATGATCTGAACTTGACTACATTCAGATATCATGGAACTAATATTTGATTCCACAGTTGCACAGCATGATAATATAGCACTACCCAGTAGGACGTCATGATGAACATGAAAAGAAGTTTAAGATAATGTTATAATGCTCTCTAACTAGGGAAGGTTAGTCACTAATTTCCCTTTGGTTAATGGTCCTTAGTTTTCAATTAGTCAGAATCAGAATACCCAAAATAAAAGGCAACGGCAGAAGATGACAAACAGTATTTCGAATAACATATCATTGCAGAACAACTATTATACCTGAAAATGACCAGAAAGGCGTCTATACTGCCCAAAAAGATAACCCATTTCTCTTGGACCCACACCAACATCTTCAGCAGGAAAATCCTGCAGTAAGATTTTAAGCAAAATCATCTGATTTAGATCAAAACAATTTGATTCCATTTTTCTAATATAGAAAAATGTCATAATCTAAAAAAAATGATATTATATCTGATAGGAATACCTGATCAGGCCCCAAATATCTATACAGCTCATCCATGAAACTTTGACAAAAACGCATTATCTGAAATAGAACATTTTCAGATTTATGTGCAGTAAAATACTATTTTCCAAAGGAAACAAAATGTGACACAAATACCTCACTTTCACTTTTACCCTTGGGATCAAAATCACTCCCTCCAGCAGCTCCTCCAAGTTTATATTGTGACAAAGCATTTTTTAGAGTCTGTATCAAAGGAAATAAGTTTATAATGCTTTATAAAAGCTTCATGCCGGTTTCTAATTTCCACATCAATTTAAAGCACTCTACTTTCAATTATAGTGCTCAATAATGAAATCCTAAATAAACATATAGCACAGCAAGCATCCTAATTTTATATAACTTTGTTTGATTGTGTTCTATTGGAAAAAAAAAGATACAATTTTGGGCAGAAGTTCACAGACAAAAAAAAGAAACAGTGCAGATCCCCCAAGTATCAAAAGAAAAAAAATGTAAGGCTATCATGAGTAAAATCATGCCACTGGATTAGGAATCCAATGTGGAATGATGGAAAGTAAAAAAAAAAACATTACAATATGACAGTATCTACTTAGGTTCAGGTAGTTGCATTTCTCAGTTCTTGAGTCGTGTTTGTGTGCATGGCATCCACCATGGTATTCATTTAATCAAATGGAGTGTAATGCGGAAACAGAAAAACTGAAATTTCATACAAAAAGCACAAATGACATACATGATGAAAAGACAGGTAGCAGCAGCAGACTATTTGCATGATAATATATTTGAACCAAGTAATATATTACCTGCTCAAAAGCTAGAAATTTTGCTACGCTCAAAGTCATGGAAGGGTGGAAACGAAGACCACCTCTGCATGGACCTAACGCTTGACTGAACTGCACACGGAAGCCTCGATTTACATGTGCTTCACCTCTATCATCAACCCATGGCACTCTGAAGATAAAGCATCTCTCAGGTTCCAACAAACGCTCCAAAATTTGGACATGTCTGAAACATCACAATCAGAAATCATGTTATACTTGAGTCTTAGGCAAACTGTTTCTCAGGGAGGGGAGGAGGGAAGGAGAGTTACTGGGAGTTCTTCACCAAAACTGGTTCCAAGGAATGAACCACCTCTTGGATAGACTGTATAAACTCAGCTTCATGAGGGTCCTTCTTTAGGATAGATTCAAGTATAGAGGCTGCAGTTTTCGACAGAGCTGAAAAATGTAGATGCCACAATTCAGATATAACCTTGAAAGTTAAGGTAAGTACTTTTATAAATATATGGTTAACTTCTTCCAAATTAATAGAAAATGGAGTGCATTCGCTGATAAAGGAGTTAAAATGCAAGGGAATGCCAAGCATCTTCAGTTTAGTGGAGAACTGGAAATTGCTTCAACTTATTATTTACACTATATTCCTTTTCTTGCACGGAGCACAGACACACTTTACCTCCATGAACTGTCAGGATGGGATGAAGTGACGAATATCAAAGTCATAGATAAATGTAACAACATATGCCCAAACTATGCATCAAAAGTCATGTTATCTATTTCACCCAGTACATTTTTCACTGTTAAAATCAGTAAAATGACATTTTGCCAAACAACTAAACACCACCATAGTACTAATTGTAAGCACGGATTTGGTACACATCCCCTATTCTTATAGAAGACCACAGGCGAACTCGCAGCATAATCACAGGGCTTGAGGCAACAACACCAACCTTTGACATATACCGGCCTCTCGATCTCAGGGGGCTGCGCGTTCTCCTTGGACGCCGTCTGCAACCGCAGCGCCTCCTTGTGCAGCAAGCTGTTGTTGTGCTCCTCCAGCGCGCTCATCTGCATGTTCCTGCTCCCCTCGTTCCCGTAGGGATTCCGGCGGTGCTTCCGCCCGTACTCCTTGCACACGGTGCAGAAGATCCTGCTGGTGTTGTCGTGCACGGCGACGTAGGCCCACTTGTAGGTGTCCGCCCACTCCTCCCTCCATTTCTTCACCACCTTCTTCTTCTTCTTGGTTTGCCCCGGCAGCCGTAGCAGCCCGTCGTGCTCCTCCACCTGCGGCGGCGTCGGCTGCGGCTGCCCCTCGGCGACGGGCTGCGAGCACGGGATGAGGAGGCTCTTGTGGTCGTCCGCGGGGTCGTGCGCGCCGGGGGTGACGCCGACGAGGGCCGCGCCGGGGAAGGAGGGGTCGTCGCCCGGGCCGATCTCGAGGTCGATCTCCTCGCCGAGGCCGCGCACCACCAGGTGGTGCTGGTGCTGGTGCTGGTGCTGCCGCAATAGGTTGAGCTCGTCCATGGCCTGGTGGCCCGAGCTCACCCGCACGTGCGCCGCCGCGCCATGAGGGGGACCACGCCCTGGAGGAGACTCGCACCAGCCCGCGGCGGCGCAAATCCCCGCCCTCCGGATTTGGGCTCTAGGGTTTGGTTGGGTGGGGAATCAGGCACCGCGCGCCACCTCCGCGGCTGCGCCGGCTAAGGTCTTCGATCGAGCAAGGCCTCGATCTGGGGGGGCGCAGAGAACGGCGTGGGGAGGGACCTCCCCGGCGGCGGCGGCGGCGGCGGCGGCGAGGTGGCCGGCGACGGCGAGGGGGAATCAACTAGCGCGGCAGCCGGAGATTGTGTCGCGGAGGGGTAGTGAAGAAATGGAGGCAGTTTCCGACAAGGCAGAAGAACGGTCAATACGGAGACAGAGAGATGGAGATAATTGGAGCCGTTGATTTTGATCTCACGGAGCTGTAAGCACGAATCATAAAGCGTTCGTTTTATACTGAACGGACCCGATTATTTGTTGATCCTAAACCACAACTCACAAACTGTAGACCAATTTGGCAGAAGTACACTTGATGTTATAAACCGCCACATCATCCTACATTCCTATTATTATGGGGCGCCATTTTTAATGATGACATATTGGAGATAACAATATCGAAGCCTTGGTATGACGTAAAGACTTAGAATTGGCATATCTATAACTTCGTTGGGCATATATATACTGTATCGGAAGTAGCACGCCTCACTCAAGGACAACGGACAACGAGGATGGGGGGAGAAATTGCAACGACGACAAGAGATTGTGTGGCGGAGGGGCTAATGCTTTTCCAACAAAGCAAAAACAAATAATCACGATATAAACAAGTTCCACCTAATAGGAGTCATTGTACATGGACAATTTAGATTGCATGAAACTGTACTGATGAATCATCCTGTGCCTGTTTGTTTCAAACAAAACCAACCATTTGCAATAGATACATATTCGTTGACCTAAAAAATAGATAGTTGGATATGGGGTGAACCGTGGACCCATGATCAAACTTGGATGTTGAAAATCGCTTACTCTACCCAGCATTCGTACTATTTGGGAGCCTCACTTTTGACAATGGCACATCGAAAACAACAATACTAGATATGACGTAAGGACTTAATATTGTGTATCCACAACTTCATTGACCACGTTCATGCTACCCTAGAAGTAGTGCTTCCTATTCTATGATGGTGGCCAAGCTGGAGCTTGTGTCTTGGAGGGGCTAGTATTCTTCTAATACAATAGAAATAAACGGTCAGGACATAGACAAGATATTGATCAAGCTAATCAGAGTAGTTGGTTTTACTTGAACAATTGGGATCACATGGAGACGTACTAGCGAATAGAGAATCAATTTATATTGAACAAACCCAATCATTTGCAATAGATACGTGTTCATTTATTCTAAACCACAATCCACAAGTTAAACACTTGGACATGGGTGAACCATGTACCCCCATAGTCAACTTGGATGTTGGAGACCTCTTACATCATCCAATATTCCTACTATTACACAACTTCGCTTTTGATGATGGTGCAACAGGGAAGGGAACATCTAGGTCTAGGTAGGAAATAAGGACAACATCGGTGTATGAACAACTTCGTTGGCCATGCCTTGTTGCACTGGAAGTAGTGCTCCTTACTCTATGCTGACGACCAACAATGGTGATTGGTGAGGGGGAAACTGCTACGATAGCTAGAGCTTGTGTCTCGGAGGGGCCAATGCTCTTCTAACATAGTGGAAACAAATGGTCACAATGATCGAACTAATCAGAGTCGTTGATTTTACTCGAACGATTAGGATCGCATGGAGCCATGCGGAGTGTCAACTTATATTGAACAAACTCGATCATTCATAATAGATACATGTTCATTAATTGCTTCTAAACCACGGCTCACAAGTTGGACAATTGGACATGGGTTGAACCGTGGACCCCATGGTCAACTTGGATATTGGAGACCCTTACGTCATCTGGTATTCCTACTATTACATGACTTTGCTTTTGACGATGGTGCATCGGAGATAGACGGAAAAGTCTAGGGATAGACGGAAAAGTCTAGGTAGGACATAAGGACCCAACACCTGTGTATGAACAACTTCACCGGTCACCACTGTGTTGCACCAGAAGGAGTGCTCCTCACTATGCACTGCTTGATCAAGGGTGCAAGGGTGAGGGGAAATTGCCACAACGGTCGAAGCTTGTGTCGTGGAGGGGCTACCGCTCTTTCAACAAGTCAGAACCATTGATTTTACTCGGACAATTGAGATCATATAGAGCGATATTACAAATCATAAATCATCCATTTACATTAGACGGCCTGGATCATTCTCAACCATAGAGATCACCACCGTTCATTCTGTTCAGGACAATCTACATATTAAACCACATCTACGAGGGACATGGGAATCAACCATGGTCAACTTGGAAGGTGGACTGCTTACGTGGTATGACATTGCTATCACATATACGGTTCATAATTCTTATGTTTTGAACAAGATTAATGTTAAACTTTTGTAATTTCGACTATTTTAACTTCAAAAATATTTACTTTAAAGAAATTAGACCAACGTATATAGATTTGTTTTTTTAAAAGTACGATAATAAAAGTAAACATATATTTTATTTATTTTATATTATAATAGAAAATAAGGTTAAAAATCTATTTTGTAAACCGTGTCGATATCCAAAACGAATTATGAAACCACAGGAGTACATCACTTTTGATAATGGCGCATCAGACATGGAAGAATATGTAGCGTTTGGAGCGATCAAATTGCCATGGCCCTGTTTAGATAATGGTGCATGCCTAAACAATCGAAGAGAACTAAAAAATATATATGGCTCTGTTTATATTTCATGTCACTTTTCTTGTCCCTCGAATGTAATTTTAGTGGCTCTTATCATTTCTCTCATTCTCTAGGGGAAAACACAATTACACAATGGATTATTCTAACTTAAAATGAAACAAATTAGTAATTAAAAAAACAAAATCACATATGCGAGTATTCAAACTAGATACAACCGTGCAAGTGTAAAAATCTAGCTGCTGCTTCGTCTTGAAGGAAGCACAACATGAGTCACACGAGTATTATTCAACACCAAAATGTTTGATGTTTCCGTGGATGGCGCAGAGACATGACACATCACCGGTCAACACACCGTTCCGTCCAGAGTCCAGACTCTAAACATAATATCACTTCCAAATACGCCATCCGTTTTATATCATAAGTTTAAGTTTAATTAAATTTATAGAAAAAAGAATAACAATATGTACGATATCAAATTGGTTTCGTTAAATTTAACATTAAATATATTTTGATAATATGTTTATTTTATACGGAATGAAAATACGAAATGAAGGTATAATTATATTTTTTTATAAACTTATTTAAACTTTAAAAAGTTTGACTAAAAAAATCAAATAACTTATAAAATCATACAGAGGGACTATATATGCAGCCACTGATTCTCGTTTCTCCTTATCACCAAGGTAAAGGTCAGCAGCAAAGAACTCAAAACCAACGTGCGTGATCGGTGTACGTGTACTCGTTGGACTGCAGGTGAAGAGATCACCGATCGATGGCTGCCGCCGGAGATGGAGCAGGAGGCGGCGGCGAGCAGCTGACGGTGCTCGGCGCGTGGGGGAGCCCGTTCCTGGTCCGGGTGCGCCTGGCGCTCAACCTCAAGGGGCTCAGCTACGAGTACGTGGAGGTGGACCTCGCCGGCAAGAGCGACCTCCTCCTCGCCGCCAACCCCGTCCACGCCAAGGTCCCCGTCCTCCTCCACGCCGGGAGGCCCGTCTGCGAGTCCATGCTCATCGTCGAGTACCTCGACGAGGCCTTCCCTTCCTCCTCCTCCTCCGCCGCCGCGGCCACCACGATCCTCCCCGCCGCCGACGACCCCTACGCCCGCGCCGTCGCCCGCTTCTGGGCCGCCTTCGTCGACGGCGAGCTGCTGAGCGGGTGGATGGGGATCTACGACGGCGGGAAGACCGGGGAGGAGAGGGCGGCGGCGCTGGCGCGGACGCGCGCGGCGCTGGACGCGCTGGAGGGCGCGCTCCGGGAGCGCGCGGGCGGGCGGTGGTTCGGCGGCGAGCGCGTGGGGCTCGTCGACGTGGCGCTCGGCGGGTTCGTGCCGGCGATGCTGGCGTCGGAGCCGACGACCGGGGTCAGGATCGTGGACGCGGACAGGACGCCGCTGCTGGCGGCGTGGGTGGAGCGGTTCTGCGCGCTGGAGGAGGCCAAGGCGGCGATGCCGCCGCTCGAACGCCTCATCGCGGCGGGCAAGAAGAGGTACGCCGATCTGCAGGCGGCGGCGGCGGCGAGCGAGTGAGGTGGCCGGCCATGTGTCCGTCGCTGCTCTGTTTAGCTGAAGAAAAGTCTGGCATATATAAACAATAAATTCCGTAGAAACTGCTATGAAAATAATGTTATTTGTTGGTTTATCTACATATTTTAGTTTTGTAACTACGTATGTACTGGGTGTTTCGTTGGATCTTTGGTACGGCGTCCGTATCTTAATCTGATTCTGTCTAAAAGTTACATAGTGCTCCTCCACCGATTTCGGTTCGTCTCCTCATTTTAGTCGGTTTCGCACGTGTTGGGCCTGTGTAGGTCGCTCTCCCGCGCGTGTGACATTGGATCGATACGCTCTTCCGCGTGCGTGACATTGGACCGACACTTGCTGCGTCCGTTTCCAATTGGTCCATTTCCAACGCATCGCTCCATGTTTAACCGGACACGACCGCATCAACAGCTACTTCCTTGGTCCTATCAAGCAACGATTACATAGTCCCAAGGCAAATTATTCTATTCAATACACTTTAGTTCTAAATAAATAATAATAATATCATAAAAACCATTATATATCGCGCTGGACACAAGTCGCTAACTACGGGCCCTGCTTGCGCGCGGTGGGGTGGTGGCTTGGTTCTTGGCGGCTTGATGGCCGTCGTGCCGCTAAGGGCAGGATCCACTAGTAGCTGCCTGAGGAAGCTCCGGATCTGATGGTGTTTGTTCATGTAGGTGTGGTGGTGCCCAGCGAGGCTCACTTGTATCTGGAGAGTGACACGGCAGTGGTGATGCTGATGGTGGTGGCGACAATGACCAGTAGCGGACGGCCAAGCGGTGCCAGCGGCGTCTGATAATGGTTTGCCGGTGCGATAGTGGTGATGGCACCGGTGGTGCCCGTTGGTGTTCTGAACACTGACATCGTGCGCCCTCACTGCCATCGCACCTTCGTTGCACATAACTGGAGCGCTAGGCCGACCTGCAACAACCGCCTCCACTGCCACCTCCCTTTGTGGTGGCGGCGAGTAGCGGTGGTGTTGGGTAGTGGTTATGGGATAAGTCCTTTGTCCCTTCCTCTATTCACCGGTGGTGAGGGTTGGTGGCCACGGACAGTGGTTGGGGCTAGCCCTCCCTCGTGACAGCGGGTCAGTTGATGTGCACGGCAACAGTGGTGGATGCTTGGTTCGTGCACGACAGTTTGTGACAACGGCGATGGAGGCTCTCGGTAGCGGCGTCTTAGGGCAGCGATGACTTGGCGAGCTCCGTCACCCGGTTCTGACCATGGCCAAGTGAGGACAGGGAAGGTGGTCGTCGGTGATGGTGAGATGATTGTCAGCTTGCCTGATGTAGATAAGGACGATGACTGTGAACACTCTTCGATGGTAGTACCCTAGAGGTGGTAGCTACCCAGTGAGCGTCGGCACCAAGGTCTAGCTGCGGATAGATATCGACGATTGTGGAGCATCTCCGGCAAGCTCATGACAGTAAAGGTAGGTACATGTCATGCTGGACAGCTCCGTGATGACCACGAACAACAAGCAGCCGATGGTGGTTGTGTTCCATAGAGACGAAGATGGTGGTTGTGATAACAGGCAGTTTGGACTAGTTTCGATTCTCATCTTCTCCTCTCATGCTGCGTTGGAAAGAGTAAGTCATTGATAAAGGTTAAAGCTAAGTCTTCTAGTTTTTTTTTTGTGTGTGTTTGTGTATTCCTCTGTGTGAGGTTTGTAGTTAAAGGACTCGTGTAGGTTTTGGTTGTGTATATGCTATGTGAATATAGAGGCCAGATTAATAAAAGATCCAATATCTAAAAAATTGAATCCTAAAGCGATTCAATGTTCTGGAATTTATAAGATATGTAAGGTGATTTTTATGTAAAATACTACTCCCTCCGTTTCACAATGAATGTGGGGAATGCTAGAATGACTTACATTGTGAAACGGAGGAAGTATATAGGCAGTCCTTTTGTTTTTCTACCTACTTGAAACGGCACCACATTCGTGCGTTCTAATCTCTTCTTTTATAAGACTAATACCCACTAATAATCTAAAGCTCAACATGCAAGCATAGTATTTAACTATTTATTAGCACTCCTAAAACCTACATGCAAATATGTCACATGAACTAATTAAGCACACAAAGTTCAACATACAACATGCAAGTATATACTCCCTCCTTCCCTAAATATTTGACGCCGTTGACTTTTTTAAACATGTTTGGCTGTTCGTCTTATTCAAAAACTTTTGTGAAATATGTAAAACTATATGTATACATTAAAGTATATTTAACAATGAATCAAATGATAGGAAAAGAATTAATAATTACTTCAAATTTTTGAATAAGACGAACGGTCTAACATGTCTAAAAAAGTCAACGGCGTCAAAAATTTTGGGATGGAGGGAGTAGTAATTATATCTACAATTTATTTCATTCTAAAATTAAACATACACATGGTAAATCATCATTCTCAAATTATTTTTATAATATTTGAATTCAAATCATTTGATCATTTCTTCAACATTTCTTCAATATCTCTAGTGCTTATGAGGACAATTGCCCCTCTTCTGCTTCCCTTACAAATTAGGAAAAAGTACACCGAAGGTCCCTTAACTTGTCATCGAGTTATAAAATCATTCCCCAACCACAAAACCAGATATCCGGCATCACTTAACTAATCAAATCCGGTCACAATAGGTCCTTCGGTGGTTTTGACACCGGTTTTGTACTACGTGGCGGCTGAATCAGCATGAGACCCACGTGGCCCCACATGTCAGGATGCCACGTCATCTCTCTTACCCCTCCTCTCCATTACTCCTCTCTCTTCTCTTCTCTTCTCTCGGACGCGAATGGCGTCTGCGTCGCCGCCGCTAGTGAAGCGGCCCTACGCGGGTGGGCGCCGCGGCATTGGGCACGCAGGCGGAGGCGGGGCCGGGCACCACGGCGGTGGCCGCAGAGGTAGAGGCGGGAGTCCGGCGGTCGGCGACGGGCGATGAGGCGGCGGTTGGGGGAGGAGGCCGGTGGGGCAAAGCGGGAGAGGAAGCGGTTGGGATGATGCCGATGGCGCCGCGGTTGATGAGGTCGACGACGGGCTCTAGCTTCCACAAGTCCTCGCCGCCCCACTTGTCGGTGGAAGCTCGCCAAGCATGCGGTTATGGCACAGTGCCCCGGTGCGGCGGGCGTGGCGGAGCGGTGGATGGCGCCGTCCTCGATGTGGCACTAGTCTGGGCTTGCCTCTGAGTTGCGGTGGCGGCCTCCGCCGCGGCCAGCATCCTCGCGCTCCTCGGCGCACCCCTCCCCTGCACCTGCGCTCGCCCCCACCTCCCCTGCCTCCTCGACTTCCTCTCCGACTACCCCTCCTCTACCCTCTCCCGTCTCGTCGAGTATTGTTGGTATTTCTTAACGACATTACTAGAAATATATTTTCCAGCAATGGCGCAGAAATACTTCTGGTATATTATGGTTACAGAGTTCATCCCCAATCGCACGGATATACCATTGTAGCATTTCACCCGAGAGTATTCCAAGGATATCGTATTTATTTTATCCCGTGGGAAGATCATGTATAGAGAACTCAACTAATAATTTATATATTACTTGTGATAACCATATTCTAAGCAGTGGTTAAGATAATCCAAGGGTAGAGTGACACACAAGCATTTAACTACTCATCCTCATAATATATCATCTAAGCTAAATCGAAAGAAAAGAGAAAGGAAATCTATTCATATACTTCTAGTATACATAGTATATATACATTCTAGTTAACTGATATACTAGCTAATACCCTCTATTCGATGCCCTCCTGGTACTTCGAGAAGCCACCCCTGACTGCCGAGTTCCTTACGACAGCCCGTCATGACCATATAACCGGGGCTAAATACGGAGGAATATCCTCCCCAGGAAATTAACTTAGGATTATATATAGGCGCGGAGGAATACACGTAGTGAGCTGTCACCATCAGCAGCCCACCTCTCATTCGCAATATATAACCCCAAATAATGATATCCCGTAATCTAGACACTACGTCTAAACTACCAGATACTACCCTAATATCATCGTCACGACATAGAGCAATTGCATAAGCAAACATTATACCCGCACCAAAGCATCTGCTAGATAAGCTAGCCGTATATTCAGTATAACATGAACATAATGTAAAATAGGTGAAAGTATTTCAATACCATAAATGTATATAGAAGAGTATTCTAATAAAAGTACAAAGCTTACAAAAGAGGAGAAAAGCTACTACAGCCATACCCGAACTCTTCCGAAGGCTTCCGGACTCCTGACTCCTATTCTAATTCTATTCCACTAGCTAGATACTACTAAACTAAACTTGAGAGAAATGAGAGAGCTATTGCTTAAGGTGTGTGTTGAAGTGAAGAGAGTGAGCTCCTTATATAGAGGTAGTTATGATGGTTGTGGAAGGGGAATTATCCGAAGTGCCCTCCAACCATTATTGGGATGCAATCCTGGACGTCCATGCCAAAACCTGGATTCAACGGCGCCAGGATTGGGTTCGGCCGAACCTGGGGCTGGCCCAATCCAGCCCAATTTCGGCTGGTGGCCTCCTCTATTGCTCTATTCCGTAGACTTGTGAATTTTGGCCCAATTCATCGTGTCAATTCTGAGTTCTTGGCCTATTCACACACAAGTCAAGTCTGGTTCTCGATTTCGTCCGATTGATTTATCGTCTGAGTTGATGTCGATTCTCCTCTACTTTATGATCATTCTCTGCAAAAGGTTAGTAAACCTAATACTAGTGGAATATTATTATTCTAACATACTTATGCATTGCAAGCATCACTAGTTCTCTCCTATTTTAGTAATATTGACGGTTGAAACTGATCGATAACGACCGTCAACAAGTATGAGTGCAAGGCCAGCCATGGGCAAGTACATGCGCCAAGCCAAGGTGGTGGCCGCCGCAGTCATGGAGCTCGCCGCCGTTGCCCCCGCGCCGCTCGGGGTGCGCACCCGCACCCGCTCCCTCGCGCTGCAGAAGAGGCAAGGAGGAGAGTACCTCGAGCTCAGGAGCCGCAGGCTCGAGAAGCTTCCTCCTCCCCCGCCGCCGCCGCCGAGGAGGAGGGCACCGGTTACGACCCCTGATGCGCCGGCGGCGGAGAGCGCGGAGGCGGAGGGTTCATTCGGGGGGGGGGGAGAACGTCCTCGAGCTGGAGGCCATGGAAAGGTGGGGATTTTTTTCCTCTCTCTTTCTGTTTTTTTTCTTATTGTGCGATTCTTTTTTTTTCTTTTTTCATGGGTTTCTT